TTCAAGTTTGTTTATGAAGAGCCACTTATCGAAATTGCTACATTGCTTGTTAATCGCGAGGTGATCGATTATGGTAGTGACGATAAAGTAACTTATGTAAAGGTTTTAATGGAGAGTTATACATGTGCTAAAGTCGATATTCCTAACATTTTGTTGGAATTATTTGCTTTAAGTAATTATAATGCTGATATTTACAATTTATTTAAATATTTTATATAATTATAATATTTATAAAGCAATAAAATTAATATTTATTTAATTGATTCAAATGTTTTTTTTCTTTAATCAATATAAGAAATAATGAAACGCTGATTTACATCTTATGTTATAACACTGTAAAAGTACATAAACAAAATTTAATAAATTGTTTTGGGTTGTCTAAATTACACTTTCTGTTATGTTCCTACCACTCTATAATCGGATGTATGCAACTTAGCTTACACTTTACGACGTATGAGTCATATTTAACATAAACAATTATATAAAGCACAAACAAATGAATAAAACATTAAATAAGAATTGCCGTAGCCGTGTGATATGGTCGTCTGCAGTGGCCTGTATCACGAAAGGTCGTGGTGGCTGTTAAACCCGAAAGGGGTAGAAATAGGGCCAAAAGAGATTTATATCAATAAAAATACTATAATAAAAAATGAATAAACCATTAAAAACGTATATAAACAATTAAGCGAACTCAACATAATAATTTATAGATAAATAAGAAATGTATAACCAACATTTATATATTTTTTTCACGAGCAGGTCTCGGACAGGTAAAGTGTGTTAAAAAAAATATGAACAGGTAACAATAAATAAATGAAAGTAATATAAAACAACAGAATAAACACATTATAATAAATATTTAAATAACACAACCAGAATGTTTAATAAAATTTAAAATTAATCTATATATATTAATGTACTCCATCTTTAACAGGAATGTTAAACAGGAAGTCGGAAAGTGAACTTTATGAGTAATTTTTTGACAGTTTGTCGAAACACCGTCACTTTCGCATCCAAAGAAGATATGATTTGAGATAGATATCGTCTCACAGTCACAGTGCGGTGAATCTACAAAATTCATCATGAGCTGCAGATCTGTCGTGGCTCGTTCGGAAACTGCTCAGTGCTGATATCTCAGATTTCTTGGTGAACTTTGAAACCATGGTTTAGTTCGCACTTTCGGATTCCCCTCGAAATAATACTTTCCTTTATTCTCTGATATGTTCTCATACAGGTACTGCCACTTTTATATCTCCTCATTATGAATGATATCGTTAATATCCGAGAACGGAACAGGTTGGTCCATGATATTGGCAATGTGACCATCACGCATCCAGCACAACAAAATCTCCGACCCAATCATTTCTAAGAAAAGTAACCTATCTGTGATTTTGAGAACAATATAATTTACTTTCGTTGAATATTGCCAAGATTGAACGGCGTTCAACGCACTTTTAGAGTCAGAAAATATAACACACCTTCTCCTACCATTTCTCTCAATTAGATTAGATTAGTGCCCTGTATATAACATACAACTTGGCTGTGAATATTGAGGAAACTTGTGGTATCCTTCCGTTCTCAATATAGATACTATAGGAAGATGATCTGGGGCCATGTATCACAGAATCACACTTTGGCTATATTTATTTATATTAAAATTTAATACTCTTTTATTAGATTATTTTAGAAATGAATTTAAGACAATGTTAAGAGGATTTATTTCTATTGTTTTGAACATTTATAGATTTCTCTTTTAAGCTACACTAATTTGTGATTAAAAACTATGATACACGGGTAGATCGTAGATTATCATGGTATAGGGTTTAATGATTTACACTTGAAAATAAAACCAAAAGTGGTCTATAATATAGTGGGATCAATGGGTATTTAACATTAAACCTACTGACAATTTATTTATTCCTATTCCTACCGTGAGCGGTGAAATGTCCGCTTCAAAAAAAGATATTTCTTAATATAGAATGAGATTTTAGCCATATAAAATCCTGGAATTATCCTGGAATAAATCCAAGGTTTCTAAAGGATGCTAAAATTAAATTAAAAATTTGTACACCTATTTAATTTACATGTTTTTGGTTACAAGTTTTGGAAGCTACTCAACGGTTCTATAAGTTATACTTCCAGTAAAACTTGTTCGCAATTTGTTTTCAAATCAGAACCGGAAACTGAATAAGTGCAACGCATGCGTATCGCCCGCTCTTTTGGCGGGACGCCCGAGCGGTGGCGCCCTCTAGCGTCGTCCGTTACCAAACTGTCAAAATTGGAAGCATGGACGCGAGTTAACAAGTCGCGTTCGCCGGGTGGTTAACAATTCCGATAGTCGTCGTGTAGCTGAAAGTCAAACAAAAACCGGCAGTTTGCAGTTCCACGTTCTTAACCGTTTTCTTTTGTTTTCTAAACGTCGTTATTCGTCGGTTCGGTCCAATTGCCTTATATTGTTGAACGGGTGAAAAGCCCCACGACCACCACAGATATCAACCTCCGAAAAGTGTGTACCGACGCCGCCGCGAAACCATGGGTTCGTATCTGTCTGAACCGATAACCGAGAAAGTCTCCTCCGACGAGTCCAATGACAAGCTCAAATGCGGCGCCAGTTCAATGCAGGGTTGGCGCGTGGAGCAAGAGGTAAGCCGAGGGTGCATAAACAAAAACGCAAACAATAGCAGCAGGCGCAAAGTCCGTGCGTCCGTGTATACATGTGATGTAACGGCGCCAATTGCCCGTAGATAACCTCAAAGTTCACCTGCAAATTGTTGCTGCCTTTCTCTGTTGCATTTTTTTAACAACTACATTACCCCTTTTTTTTATTATAGGATGCCCACAACTGCCTCCTAGACTTCGACACAAACACCTCCTTTTTTGCTGTCTACGATGGGCACGGGGGTCGAGAAGTGGCTATACACTGTTCACAGAAGCTGCCCGATTTCATCAAGGCCTTAGACGCTTATCAAAAAGGTGACATCAAGGAAGCCCTGGTGGACGGGTTCCTCGGCTTCGATGCCACTATCGCCACACCTGAGGTAGTCGAAATATTGAAGGAGTTATCGGGCAGAAAAAATGCTAACGACGATTCTGATGAAGACTCGGATGAGGACGATAACCTCGACAATTTGTGCAAGGATGCCAATCTCCCAATCGAAAAGATCATGGAAAAATACAGGTTGATTGGAGATGGCAAAGGGAGTAAGGCTGCAAAGACAGCTGAAGAGGATGAGGAAAAACCTGGAGGCTCACAGAAAGGTTCATCTTCAGGGAGTAGCTTGAATGAGGATAAAATGGAGTCAAGCAATGGCAGTTCATCTGAGAGTAAAGAGAGCCCAGATAGTTCTGAGGATAAAACACCCAAGGAGAAGAACCACCAAAATGGTGATGTGTCCTCGGAGCAGCCAGTGGAAACTTCTGATCAAGTCACAAGTTCCTCCAGTCCAGTTGCCAATGGACAGGTCAATAAAAAAGGTAATACATGATGTTGGTTGGTATATAATAATTTTATTATACTGATATAAAAAGTGACCATGATTTAAGTAATGAAAAATGAATACAATTTAACATATTTTAAAGGAAAGAAGGTAGCAATTCTTATGTTTATACACTGAATAACATTTTTATTCTTTTTCATTATTTTGTGTTCATCTCACAGGTCTTATTATTAGTAACTTCAATTGGACATGGGTTCCATGAAGTCTGCAATTTGAATGGGAATGTTACATTTTTAATTAGTTAGTATATAAAAATATGCATGCAGTTAAAATCGTAAATTTGATGATATAATTAGTTATTAGTAAATAATAAATAAGCTATCTATCAACGGGAAATTTTCGATATCAGAAGTTTAAAATAATACGACGGATAACTTGTACACGTGATATCGAAACAGAATATTCTTAAATGAATCAGATGGAAAGTAAGTTTGATGTATTCTTGCTATCTGTTTCTAAGTGTTTCCGCTGTAAGACGTGACTCAATTACTATTATAAAATGTAATATAAATGATCAAGTCAATTTAATTATAACATTTAATAGTGCTTACAGTTTTCTGTGACTCTTTCCCTGTTTATCAGAACTGATTTTGTTAAAGTAAATATGGACGATGAAGCTTAAATATATTTATGTAATATATTTTTATATTTTATAATCGTATATTTAATATAATAATAATTTATTATATACGTGAATGAAATATGCAATCAGCTATTTACTGTAATTATATAAATATTTCTGCGAGTTTCCTGATGATAAGTTAAAAATATATTGAATAATTTGATAATGTTGAAATAATCAAAATTATTTTGTAATGATGATCTATAGCGTTGTAAATTGTTTATTTTTTATAAAAATAATGAAATGTTTTAGTGTTTGTTGCTTAATATATGTATTGTTTGTAGGTAAAGGAAAAGCTCTCGCTAAAACCAAAGGTGTACAATCTCCGGAAGTAAAGTCGCGACCAAAGAGGACTAGCGTAAAACAGATGTACGCAAAACTTTTGGACTATGGCGAGGAATCAGAAGATACGGAAGATGAAGAGGATAAGACGTTCGAAGGACCGAACGAATGTGGTTCTGACGATGACGAGGAACCCAGCAACGTAGTCGAAGGGGAGGATACGTCCGATGACGACGACGACGATGATGATGATGAAGAAGATGAGGACGACGAAGATGATGAAGCAGATTTGGAGTTTGCCAAGAACATGGTGGAAGAACCTGGTTCTGACAGCGGTTGCACCGCGGTCGTGGCAATCCTTAAGGATAACAATTTGTTCGTTGCGAATGCCGGAGACTCTAGGTGCATTGTGTGCCGCAACGGCAAGGCCGTAGAAATGAGTTTGGACCATAAACCGGAGGATGAAGCCGAGAACGAGAGGGTAGTGAAGGCTGGCGGAAAGGTGACTGCTGACGGTCGTGTGAACGGCGGCTTGAATTTGAGCCGTGCGATAGGTGATCATGCCTACAAAAAGAACAAGGAGCTGTCAGACAGAGACCAAATGATCACAGCACTACCAGACGTCCGCACGCTCACAATACACCCTAACGAGGACGAATTCATGGTGTTGGCGTGCGATGGTATTTGGAACTTTATGTCTAGTCAAGAGGTAGTCAACTTCGTCAGGCCGAGCATATTGGAGGGTAAGCCTCTGTCCAAGATTTGCGAGGAGATGTTCGACCACTGCTTGGCACCGAACACGATGGGCGATGGTACAGGATGCGACAACATGACCGCCATCATTGTAGAATTCAAGTCGACCATTCTGAAGCGAACGGCGGATTCTCCCGACGACAAATCCACCATTAAACGAGCGAAGACTGAAGAGGCCGCAAGTGAGCAGGCGTGAGATAAGATACATGGCAAGAGTAATTTTGTTTTATTTTATTTGGGTTAAAGTTTCTGTTTATAACGAATGTCTTAGACACATTCCTATTATTTTGAATTTGTTCAGTTCGAAAGCATTACACATATCTTATTTTTATGACTGTTAAACTATATATATATATAAAAAAGCAAAGTAACAAAAAAAAATAATACGTTCGTTTAAGATCGCAATTTGGGGTGTCTCTTCTCACCACATGTAAAGCACGGAACTACCTCAAATTGTGCGCGTTTTTGTACAGGTTAAACTTAAAAAAGAAAAGAATTTATATATAAAAAAAATACAACATTTATAGGTGCCTTCTGTTATGGATACATGGATGTAAAGAAAAAGCGAAACAATGGTTGGTGGCAACAGATTTATTAATATTTTCTTGTAATTATTTGTATACCATATTTGCATTAACAAACGTAGCAATTAAAATTTACTTATATATCGGTTTCTTTATCATGTAAATTCAAATTACGAATGTTTTTCTCTTATTTAAAACTATTTATCTTATGTATTCGAAATTATATTTTTTTTGTAAGATAAATTGTATTATTATCATTTTATTATAATTATCTGTTCAGTAGAAGATGCAAGATGAAAGTTAATGTAGAATTATATATTTAATATGAGTTACCGTATTATGTATACACTTTTGTTTGTTTTAATTGTTGGTCAGAGTTGTGATGATGTCCAGCTGCTCCAGCTCCTGTTTCTGCAACGAATTCAACTGCACCTTCAGCCTTTCCACTTCCATTGATTTCTCCATGATTAATGCCTGAAACTCGCCAATTTATTTATTTTTTACAAGCAACTGATAGTTATGTTAACATCGTATAAAACAATGAACGTACTTTATGCAACAATTAAGCGGTTATATATTAGTGAATTTTCAGATAAACGCATACGTTTGTCTAGCACTAAGAACTTGATATTTTTACTTAGATTTTGGTATCATATGGTAGGAATATATCTATGTAAGATGTTTATGAATATATCTCGACAAATTTATTCCTAAAGGCGGGAAGAAATTGACAATGAGTGATGTGAAAATGTCGGTACAGGTAAGTATTTTAATTGATTAATTTATGTTATATAAGTTTAATTATTTCATTAATCTTTTATTCATAAGATCTGTGAAAAATATAATTGTTTCATATAAAATTCCGGGCCACACAAACCCCCAGATGGAACCGTCTCGTTGCAAAGAAACAAGCTCATGGTTCTCATGTTAGTTAAAATGTTAAATTTCGTCCCCCCACAGCGATGAAGGTTGGGGAGACTAGCCTATGAATACCATGTCTATCCACATCTGGATTCTAAACAAAATCTTGCTTACTTCCAATACTGTTACGTTTCGTCATATTCAATTATATATAACTAATGAACATTCGTGTACAATAACATGATTTTTTACCTGCAACTGCTGTTGATCTACTTCACGCCTCTTCTCCATTGTTTGCATTATATTTCGGGTGCTGATCGCCTTCATTTTCTGTCTCTCTACCTCTTTGCCCAATTTATCCATGATATTTATAAAATTGTCAATCAATTTTTGAAATTCGTCGATCTCTTAAACGAAGAAAATAAAATTATAAAATTGTTAATAACAATATCATTGCTGGCACATACTTTCCACGTATATTTTGCACTCATCTTTAAGGACATTCGTCTGATTGGACACGTCCGGTTCCAAAATTCGCACTTTATCTACTTCATCGAAATAAACACCTATAGTTGATAAAATTTCGGACATTGTCGCTGCGTTTAAAGCAATAAGTTTGTTTTGAATTGGTTTCCATGGAAATATTTTTCAGTTCTGTAAACTGCGCACGCATTATCAACAAAAAATAGGTTGCTACCATTTGAATTTTTAAATCAACTACTTCTTTCTTTACATATTTTTGAAAATTATATTTATTTGTTGTTAAATATTTATCATTTTGAATTATCATGAAAATTATACTCACTATAAAATATGCATTGGTCATTGCTACCTTTAAGTATTATTTAAATTAGATACTTTTGTCAGAAATGTATGTAAGGATTAGTTTTCAACCGTCTCACACAATTGTAATATGTGTTCTTTGTCTAATTAAATCAATTTAGAAATTTTAGAATGAAGGACATTAGTTATAATGATTAAATGAATAGTGATATTTTAAGAGCAGTTTAAAATTCTGAATGCATTTTACTTGAGGCCACGAGAATACAAAAGAAAAATATAAGACAATATAATAATATACACAACAATAAATTAAATACATGGAATATATCAAAAAAGGTGTTTTTTGCGCTTGCTTAGGTGGGATTGTTCTTTTTCGCTCGTAATCTGTCCAGTCCGTTTCTTTCCTCCTCTTCGTCGCTGGTGTACGAAGACATACCAGAGACAGCACCTCTGGTAGAAGTGGCCTGCATCAGCTCCTGGTCGGGACCGTTTCTGGTTTCGTATAGAAGAATGTTGAGCGTTTCTTCGTATATCCTTGCCTCCGGACATTCAACTTTGTTATGCTTCTTGTCCGTAGCGTAAACGATCGACGAGCAGCAAACCTCAGATACTTTCTTACCGTGGCCGTAGAATGTCCAGCAGCATATCTCGCTCGTGCTAATGACATCCTTTATGAATAGCACACGATTTTTATACCAAAGTGATAACTTATCGAACAGCTCGATGTTCTTCAGCAGGTTATCATCAGATGTTGTGGTGTAAGAATACTTATTGTTGTGCCGATTTATAAGCAACTTAATAGCCGGCTTAGTTGTTGAGGTGATCAACAATTCCTCCTCAACTTGAGACGTGATCAGCGGCACTTGACACAACGCTTCAACTTCTCTGCCTTTCTTCAGTAATGCCTGATTGCAGGCTTCCGTTAATTCAGAAATGCAATAGTATTTTGCTTCTGCAGCCAATTCAGCAATCTCTTTGCTGGATTCTGGCAAAGGCACACTACCATCCCGTAGGAAATTCAGTATTGTCCCAAAATGTTTGCCTCGTCTGTCAATCAATATCCAACCTGCAATGAACAAACTGCATAGAGTCCTGACTTTAATATAAATATGTTTTTTAATTGTCTCTTACCATCTGAATCTGTGAGCACCTCCATTCGCCCACTGAACATTGCTCTGAGCATTGTATCATGTTTGGTCAGAGTGCCAATGGTGGTATAATGCAGACTACCACCAACGTTGAGTTTTACATATTGGGATGGGTTGTCTTTGATCGTCTTGCCAGACATCTCGATTGTGTTCATCACTGCAAAGGTTTCTTGTTTATGCTTTTTTGTATTGGAATGGCTTCTCAGTTTCTCTAAATTTGGGGCTCTAGCCTTATCACACACTTATTGAAATGCAATGCTTTTAAATGCTCGGAATGCTTACATTTACATGAAGGCGTGGCAAAGATGATTCAATTGTTATCAGTGCGTTCGTTCCTCCTTTGTTTATCAGAGCCTCCCTAAACACCACATCCCAAAATAATAATACTCATTTTTTTTATCAATCTCCACTACAATGACAGGTGAAATGGGCAATGTTGCCGTTGTTACATAAATATGTACAATATTATATATTTAATTTCACAGTTTGTAACTTATATTTAAAAAAATGGTAATTTCTATTTGTTCAAATTCAGACAATTATCCGGTAATATTATAAAAAATGAATATTGATTGAAGTAAACCTGGTAGCCTAACTTCAATATTTTTCTTCTTTCTGTCAAAACTTCATTTAGCCTGTGCCATCCAGTGGGGGATTATCCATTAAGGAATATAAGACTTTAAGGGGGCCCCAACCAAGACATTTTCCTAAATCATTTAAAATAAATGATTGATTTAAGTATTTTTTGGGGCTCCCAATAATAATTTGCCTTTCCTTTTTTTTTCCTCAATATGACTAGGTGGGGAATCGATCCCGTTGTCTTTTATTTCTAGGAACATGTCGGTGATTGTTAAGGATGAGTGAAAACTCTGCCTTTCGGCACGTGGCTCTCGTTAAAGGTGTGGCGATTTAGCCTGGTGGTTCAGCTGGAGGAGGAAGAAAATGCAGTCTTGGAAGAACGTTGATAACAATTAATGTCATCGTTGACGGTGGCTCTCCTCAGGTGATTCAGGATACCTGAATCTATCGGGCTTGGTGACGAAATGCAGGCATGACGGTGGTGATCCTCTCCATCAGGGCTTGCATTGCCAGGATGAGATCGGTGAACATTTCAGTGCTGATCGCTTGGGGGGCGGAAACAGCTGCTGCATAACTGACTGGTCAGGTTTGGCCACGAGACGCCGCATAAGGCGACGGACGGGTCGGCTGGCTGGGCTTGAATTGCCTGGGTGCCTGTAGATTACGGTCAACTGCCTGAGCCCCTGTAGCAAAGCCGTTGCGCACAGTTTGAGTACCCCGAATTTAGCCTGATTAGAATGGGAGTCCAAAACAAAAAGTGCAGAAAGTCCTCGTTTATCTTCCTCAAAGCATACAATATTCAAAACATTTTACTACATATTTAAGCGACTTTGTTTAGTTTAGCACTTGTCTAGGAAGCCACCCTAAGCGTTAAGCCAGATATTACTGTATTGGGAATTAATTCCCTCCCACTGGAAAGTCGCTCAGCTCGTCGTCATACTGAAGCCGGGAAAAGATCCAGAGGAAATCACGTCCTACCGACCCATCAGCCATCAGTCCATTCTTGTTCGACGAGGGTGTGATTCCGGACCACCAGTTCGGATTCCGACGACATCATTCCACCATCGAACAGATCCATCGCATGACGAGCGACATAAGACGAGCCATGGGGGAAAAGCAGTACTGCTCCTAGGAATAACATAGGTCTTCAACAAAGTGTGGCACGCGGGTTTGCTCTATAAAATCAAGAGCACGCTGTCTCACTGCAATTCCACTTATTCTCCAAAAGTTTGGCAGGTTTTGAATTATTAAAATATATATAAAAAAAAGGAATTAATGTTCAAAGAGTTAACAATAAAAATAATTAAAGATATATTTATTTGTCTTTTAATAAAATTAGGTGATATTAAGTTATATTATTAGACGATATTATATAGTATACTTATACCATCTACTTTTTAATTATACTGTGAATGTGATAATATATAATAAACTTTAAAATATACAAAATTAATTAGATATAATAAATTAATCATATAAATTTAATGAATTATTATTTACAATAATTAAACACTATGAATAAAAATAAATGTGTATATTGAAAAAAAATCTGTTAATTTTATTAATAAATATTTTATCAGGACTACACTAATATATATTGTTCAACATAATCTGTTTTTGTAGTGTTTGAATTCTTTTTTTATTAATAATATTGTTTAAAACCTGTTATTATACGTTTATAATCATTGTTTTCTTAGATGGTCATAGCGCAGATTAAGGAAATATAGGAGTTACGGAAAGTCCGGGTATATAGAATGGGAATTAAAAAGCCAATGACTCCAAATACTTGGGAATGTTCTTGGATCGCCGGCTCATGTGGAAATGTAAATGGAATAGTAACATTAATTAATATGTTTGGAGTTGATAATGTTAAAAAGAGTGTTATAGTCAAAAATGTTTTTGAAGAGGTTAGCCGTCAGCAGTATATTGGTACTCTTCGATTCCACTATTCCCTTTGTCTGTGCATCGGCTGCAATCTTTAACACTGTCATTATTCATCGATTTGGCAGGAGGTCCATATGCTGAGCCGCATTCTTGTGACAAGCGACATGGCTGAAGTCGAACCAGCGCTCACAGGGCTGTGAGTACGGCGTCTTAACCATTCGCCAAATTGAAATAATGTGCCAGAAATTCATATTAATCCAGCCGTGCTTCAAAATAATTTCACATACGAAACTTAAGAAATAATTCCTGAAATATCCTCTCATATAAATAAAAAATACTTTTGGAACCAAGAGTGTCATTCACTATAAAAAATATAATGCATTTATTTTTGGTTTTTCCAATGGTCTCCCTTACCCTTAGACAGGAGTAATTTTATGGCACCCCTAATAAACAATTGTATAAATTGGCATATCTGAAATAAAAGTTATCATTACTTCTTAAGATCCTGAATCAAGCAGTTCTGCAGAGAAATAACAAGCATAATCAATTATGGCCCCAAAAAATATTTCGACCGAAGGTAAGAAATTAACAAAAGTAACTAAACTTTATAATTAATGTTTCTGTTTGTTAATATTACGAGCCAAGGAAAAGAGGACGAGGACTAATTTTAAAGAGCACGAAGTAATTGTGTTCACCTCTTTCTTTTTATTAAAGGAAATACCATCTGCGAATGAACTGTTGACACTATCGCATCAAACTGATGTAGATAGAAAAAAGATAAAACAATGGTTTAAGAATCGGCGTGCAACTAATAGAAGAAATCAAAGAAATGGCAAAACTGTAGAGAAGCCCGAAGAACATACAACCCAGTGTCCATATTATATAACAGTCCTGAGCGATCAAAATAAAAAGTAATAAATTTAAAAAATCATGAACATTTCTCATATTTACTGTTAAGTATATTTCAATAATATAATTTAATTATTTTACATAATAATTATAAAAAGTAGCAAAATTCGATCCTTCATCTACCTGTCAAAACTGAAATTTGCGGAGAAAATTTTTTCAGCTCCAAACATTCGTTTCATGTTAAAAATAAACGTATTTAATGGCCTGAATCAAAAATTCATCCACCGATATTATTTCACATCATAAATTAATTTATAGCGATCATCCACTATTAAAAATAATGTTTGAACCACTCACTATTTTGAAATAACCTTTGCGTTATATAATTAAATGAACAATTGTAAATAACGGTACGAATTTAAAAAATATAAATATTTTTTGCGGAGAAAAATATCAAATTATTTCAACGAAGGATTTCGTTTTATTACGATTTCAAATAACCTTTGAAATTCATATTAATCCAGCCGTGCTTCGAAATTATTTCACATACGAAACTTATGAAATAATTCCTGAAATATCCTCTCATAAAAATAAAAAATACTTTTGGAACCAAGAGTGTCATTCATCAAAAAATATAATGAACAATATTTCAAGATGACAGATACGAATAGGAGAACGTTCAGAACACATAGGGAGCACCTAGAATAGAAACCTAAAATTACACAGAAGTAATAACAACGTTCAAACTACGCAGAGATCTGACGTGAATGAATGACGTAGCCCACTCGTATGCTGTGGAGGCTATTATCAATATGACTCAGAGTATATTCAATGAGCTATTAGCTTATAGCAGAGCAGAGAAGTCAGATCTCCGGAGGACTCAGGCGGTCTTAGCCACATCTCCAAAAACTCCAAGAAGTTTTCCAATTTCGTCGGACTCAATTGATTTTTATATTGATATATATATAAAATAATTCATCTTCTTTAATTTAAAGATTAAAATATTTTATTACTTATTACATTAAATAATTTTGCCGAATCTTAAATATCATAAAAACAAATACTTATTCGTATATTGTAGATAGTGACATTGTGCAGGTAGTTATATTACCGGGGAAGGGGGATGAAATAATGTAAAGGTATATAATAAGTCTGCATCAGTCATTTGTATATCTGTATTCAAAGTACACTTGACCAAGAACAATATTTGAAGCTGACAGATACGAATAGAAGAACGTTCAGAACACATAGGGAGCACCTAGAATTCTATAATAGAAACCTAAAATTACACAGAATAAATAACAACGTTCAAGC